AAGGACCAGCTCAGAGCCAGGGTGGCAGGCTGGGTGCTGGCATCCCAGAGCCTGCACACGCCTGTGTGTCCCTTGTGTCCCCGTGGAGAAGGGATTGCTTCCCAGGAGTGTGCTGCAGTTCTGCAGAGGGCTGACTCCTGTATGCCCGGTGCAGACATGCCCAGATGCCTGGGCCAAGCTCCAGCTTTAGGCAGGGCCCTAATGGGGAGGGAGACATTAAAGCTGAAGACAAAATATGTCATTTATGAGTCCTGCATCTTTTGTCAGCTTTTGTGTGTCAGGGCAGGCAGCAGAAGGGCGCTGCACCAGGGGGTCGGTGATGCCAGTTTGTGGCTCATGCAGCCCTGGGAATCCTCCTGGGCTTACTCGGCTGCAAGGAAGCTGAGCTGTGCCGGTGCTCCCCCATCCTGCCCTTGCCCAGCCCAGGCCCCGCTGCTCCAGCGCAGCCACGGCTCTGTGCCAGCTCCTTTAGAGAGCCTTGCCCACCCACAGAAACGGGGGTGGCCCCAAAGCCCGGGGGATCCTGGGTGCCACTGGCCCTGCTCAGTGCCATTCCCAGCCCAGCAGGGGTGGAGCTACCGGGACCCCAGGGCACCGTGCCGGGACCGACTGCGCCTGTTGTACCTGTCACCGAGTGCCTTTCAAACACCCTTCTGGACTTGCCTAACACACTTCGTGAAGTCCAGCAAAATCTGCCAATGTTTTCAGCCCGGGAACAGTGTTACAAGGGATTTTACTCCTTGTTTTTTGAATTTCTGATGGTGGTGTTTCTGCTGAGGTTGTTGGCGTGCCCGGGATTTCCGTCTCCCCCTTTTTTTTCAGGGGGTCCCTGTAAATATGTACAGCGGCCGTGCAGCCCCGGCATTTCCTCTGCATTCTCATGTGCTGACTTGTACAATGATCTTTTCAAAGGTACTTGGATAAAATGAAATAAAATCCCACATCCCACTGCCTACTGCTTTTTTTCCTTCCCCGTGGAGCAGACCCAGGCCCTCAGCAGCCTCTGGGGTGGACAGAGGGTGGGGTAGGTCTGGCAAAGGGTCTGGGCACAGGGCGGGGCTGGGGCTGCTCTGGGCTCCCCGGAGGGGTGACCGAGCACATCCTGGCCCCAGGGGACCAAAATGTTGCCCCTGAAGGAATGGCTCAGTGGAGAGGAGACTGTGCTGGAGTTGCCAGAGGCTACAAGCCAGGCTTAAGTGCTTAGAACCCCATGTTGCCTGCCTTGGCTGTGACAGCAACTACTGTGGATTCCCTGGGTCTGGTATGTGACCAAGGAGAGACCCCAGCTGATTCCCCATCATCTGAACCCCACTAGTGCAGCACGAGGGCCAGCAGGGAGAGTTCCTTGGCCACCTGGTGCCATTGCAGGGTTGCCAGGATCAGTGCTATGGCACAGCTGCCTCGGGGGGACAGAGGCCCTGCTGTGTCCCCGAGACAGACACAGACCGGAGCCCACATTGTTTCCAGATGGTTTATAGCACATGCCTGAGTAGGACAGGGCTCACAATTCATCCCGGGATTCATCTGTCCGCGGCACACTCGGATCCTCCTTGCCTGTGCTGTTCCCAGGGGTCTTGGTCACCTGGAGAAGGCAGCAGTGATGGATGGACACACACTCCCTGCCTGACCCTGTCCCCATCCTGCAGGATCCACCTCCTTGCCCAGCAGGGGCTGGAGACATCCCTGGGCACGGACCTATCCCCTGACCTCACTCACCGGAGGCTCCTCAGGCAGTGTCCCCCCGTTTTCCAGGAACTTGGAGAAGGTCTCCACATCTCGGGTGCCCTTAAACTCAACCATCTGGAGCCATGGGAGCAGAGGGCACTCAGGGTGCCACCGTCCCCCAGATGCTGGTAACCCCACAAGTGCCCACACCTACCTTCCTGCCCGGCCCTGCAGGGAAGTAGTGCAGGGTGGGGTAGCCGTGGATGGTGATGTTCTCCAGCTCGTTGGCCGTGGAGTCCATCTCGGCGATGACGATGTCCTCGTGGTCCTTGTAGCGCTCGGCCAGCTCCTCCCAGGCGGCCGCCATGGCCTGGCAGTGGGGGCACCACGGCGCATCTGCGGGGTGGGGACGTTGGCAAGGGGGTTGTGACGGGGCTGAGCCCCATGGCAGAGCTCAGGGAGGGTCATGGGTGACCCCAGCACTTACAGAACTTGACAAAGACGTTCTTGGTCTCATCAAATGCCACCTGCTCGAAGGTCTTCCCCACCAGGACTTTGACAGGCCGCGTGTCCCAGTCCTCGGGGGGCTCCGCACTCAGCAGGTGAGGCTGTGGGGGACAGTCAGGACAGCCACAGCCTGGGCTGAGCAGTGCCAGAGATCCATGGGGCACAGAGCAGGCTGAGGCAGGGGTATGTTCCTGTGCTGCCTTTTGGACCACGTTTTCCCCTCTGCTGCCATCCCAGCTCTGTGAGTCTCCACAGCAGCAGCCTCCTGCCCCGCTTGCCCATAACAATTCCCCAGATCCTCAAGCCTGGCAGCAGGAGTATCAGCAAACCGGTCCCTGGTGTTCACCACACAACCATTATCCTTAGGCTTCTGGGCCAACAGCCCATCTCTCAGCACAGGGCAGAACCCATCGGTGCTGGTGGCACCGTGCTGCACCCCTCACCTTCACCTTGCCGTCCAGCACTGCCTGGATGAAGGTGCGAATGGCTGAATCCGAGAAGTTGTCCTGCTCCATCTGGTACTTGCGGTTGTTCTCCATCTTGACCAGGCGCAGCGTGGGGGCATCAGCAGCGGTCATGCCAAAGAAGGGCAGGACATCTGCGCCGTGCCCGGTTACATCCACCACCACAAAGAGCACCTGAGCAGGGAACGGGGGACACTGAGGATGAGGAGTCCCAAAGCCACCCTCCATGTCCCTACCATGGGGCCACCTCACCTCACCCCGGAAGCCACCGGCAGCTGCCCTGAAGCCATCCCGCAGTGACAGCTGCTCCGGTGACGACTTGTTGAGGAAGAGCAGCATGTGATGGGGGATCTTGGCACCAAAGATCTGGCTGGATGTCTGGGGAGGAGGAGGAGGAGGAGGATGAGGACAGGGCAACCATGGCCCTCCCAGGACAGTGACAGGGCAGGGGACGGGCTGTACCTCGTTGGTGAACTCCATCACCAGCTGCAGGCTGTGGACGCGGAGCAGCCTGGTGAGCTCGGCTGTGTCCAGCCCCCGTGCCGGGTCCACGGGGAAGTTTGTCTGTCTCTCATCAAACTGCCAGGGCAGGGGCGTGTGAGGGCTGAGGGGAGGACAGGACGGCCCCACCACTCCCCTGCCACTCCCTCACCTTCTTGAACAGGCAGACGGTGTCAGCTGACAGCCCGTAGGCCTGGAAGAGCTCAGCTGCCTCTGCCACGCCGAATGTCGTGTCCACCATCTCGGCAGCCACCTCGAAGAACGCCTGGGCTGCCTCACCCTTCAGGTCCTGCACAGCCACCCATCAGTGCCACAGCCACAGCCACGGCCAGGGTCCAGCCCCGACCCGCCCCAGCCCACCTTGAAGAAGCCAACGACCACCAGGTCCTGGGAGTTGATGAAGGCAGCGATCGTGTCGGCGTCCTGCAGCAGCGTGGCGCTGGGGCCGGCCCGGCGCTGCATCCAGCGCACGATGCCCTGGCTGTCCATGCGGCCTGGCACATGGAGCAGGGCCCCGATGTCACCTGACACCCCTCTCCAGGCTGCCACCCCTCTCTGTGCCACCATCCTCAGCCACCCGCCACCAGCACCATGGTACTGTCATCACCTCATACATCACACTGTCACCTGTCCATTGTCACCATCAGAACATTGCCACCCCCTCACCATCGCCACCCTGTGAACCCTACAAGGACAGTGCCACCCTCCACCATCAGCCCCTGCCACCTGCCCCGGCCCCATGGCACTGTCCCCCCTCGATGGGTGCCAGGGACACTGCAGGGTGCCCAGCCCTACCGGTGTATGCCAGGGGATGGGTGCGGTTGCCATCACGGAAGAGCTTGAGCGTGGGGTAGGAGGTGATGCCAAACTCAGTGGCCAGGGCTGTCTGTGCCGTGGCATCCACCTTGGCCAGCCGGGCTGGGCTGGACTCGTTCCTCAGCTCAGTGGCTGCCTGGGCAAAGGCGGGAGCCAGCTGCTGGCAGTGCCCACACCACGGTGCGTCTGCGGGTAGGGGACAGCATTGATAATGGGGACACGTGTGGGGACAGCCCAACGGCTGTATGAGCCCACTGGGCCACAGTTTGTGTCCCTGTCCCACACCCACAGCATGTGTCCCTGTCCTGTGTCCCACACCAGTGCTGTACACCCCTCACCCCATGCTCTGCCTGTGTCCCTGCTCCTTATCTGTCCCCACCTCATGCCCTGTCACATGGTCTGTGCTCTTGCCCCTCTGTCCCACAGCCCGTGCCCCTGCCCACCCCTCCTGTACCTGTGTCCGTGCACGTGTGTTCACACTCAGCCACAGCCAGTCCCCCCTGCCAACATTCCCTACCCCGCATTTGCCCCTGCCCGCACTGGGGGCACTCACAGAACTCCACCAGCAGCAGCTGGTGCTCACTCAGGGCTCGGGCAAAGTTGTGCTCATGGAGCACCAGGACATTGTCCTCCTCCTTGATCTCATCTGAGGGCACTTCATCCTCTTTCTTCTCCTTTTCCTCCTCTTCTATCACCTCTTCATCCTCATCCTCGCCCCCCAAAGCCGGGCCCAGCCAGGCCAGGGACAGCACCAGCAGCCAAACCAGCCGGGACCCGCAGCCGCGCATGGTGCCGGCGCTGAAGATGTTGTCCAGGGAGGAGGACGAAGATAAGGAACCTGGGGGCGGGTTGTGCCGGTCCCCTGGGGCTCGTGGCCCTCCGCTACTGGCTGCCCGGCCCCGCCGATAAGGCAGCGGGACCAGGTGGCTGTTTTCCAGTCGCTCGTGGCCGCAGGGAGACCTGGCCCCGCCAGCGGGATGGGGACAGGGCCGCGGGGGACAGGGAGCAGGGGGACAGGCACAGGCGGTGGGGGCACAGACACACCAGTAAGAGACCAGTCTGTAGGGTTTAATGGCGATGGAAGAGCACAGCCTGAGACCGGGCGGGTACCGGGCACGGCACCACCACGGCCGGGTCACAGCCCCGGCCCCAGCCATGGGGACGCCGTGAGGACCAGGCGGACGTCGATATTTAAAAAAAAAGAGCAATTAAAAATAACTTTGGTTGCGAAGACCACGACCACGGGCTCTCACTCGCTAAGGGACCCCCCTCAACCCTTGACGCGACTGGGGCAAGCGCGGCGGTGCCGGTGAGGGGTCCCGGGATGGCGGCACCTCGTCCCCGAGCTGGCGGGGGGAGCCGGGGTGCGGGGCGGGGTCAGTCCTCCCAAGCCTTCTTTATGCAGAGGCCCCACTCCCAGGAGAGGTGCTCCGTCTTGTCATCGTCGGTGACGAGGGAGCGGACGCGGTACGAGCCCCGTGCCAGCCATCCCCGCGGCGCCTCCTCCGCCGGCGTCACCACCTCGTACTCCTCGGCCCGCGGCGCGTAGCTGCCCACCATGAACACATCGCGATCCACTGGGCGAGGAAGGGACAGGAGGGACGGGTGAGTGGGGCCAGGGTGGCGTGGGGGCCCCCCCAGCCCCGGCCCCGCAGCCCCCAGCCCCACTCACCGGGCCGGCCCCGGCGGTAGGTGAGGTGCAGGCACCGCAGCCCGCAGACGATCTCCCTGTTCACCTGCGGGCAGAAAGCAGGGGGGACTTGGGGACTGCCCCATGGCACCGGGACCCCTGGCATCCTGACATCCACCTCTTCCAGGACCCAGCCCCGTGTCAGAATTCAACATCATCAAAGGTGGCAGGGACTCCAGGGTGGCGGGTAACTCCAAGAGGGGCAGGGACTCAGAGATGGCAGGGATCCCCCTTAGGAAGGCTAGGGACCTCTAGGAAACCCTGAGATGAGCAGCATTGCTGGGATCTCTGGGAGAAGCAAGGATTCTGGGCTGGCAGGAGCCATGAGGTGGCATCACGCCCCAGGGTGGCAGGGACCCAGGAGGCTGGGGGAATTCAGGGTGGGCAGAGATCCCTGGAGGGACACCGACCCCAGGGATAAAGGGTGGAAGCAGATGTCGCAAGGCAGGGACCCTGGGGCAGGCAGGGACCCATGGGTGTCAAGAGGCACCCTGTGGGCAGGGTCCCAGGGGAACAAGGATCCCTTGGGTAGGGTCCCCGTGGTGTGAGGGCAGCAGGGCCATGCCCAGCCAGTGGGCACAGGGCACCACGCACACGCCTCACCTTGAAGGACACCTTCACCCTATAGTCCACCCCTTCCTTCAGCACAAAGGCCCGGCCTCTCAGCTCCTCCAGGTCTCCTGCACAGGCAGATAGTCCATCAGCCCGGTACCCCTTCCTCCTCCTCCTCCTCCTCCTCCTCCCCCGCCTCCGCCTCCTCCTCCCCCAGCTGCCCCCAGGGCTCACCTGTCAGGTCCATGGTGATGGGCCCTGGCGCCTGCTCGCACATCAGTGTCAACCTTGTCACCTGCACGTTGGGCACGCTGGCATCTAGGGACAAGCAGCAGGGCCCAGACCTTACCAACCATTCCCAGTGCACCATCACCTCCATCCCAGAGAGCCAAGGAGCTCCCATGGCCCTGTAATGGCAGGAAGGGCCATGGTGTCCGTAGTGGGGGTGTTAAAGCAAGTGAATGCCAGGCAGCCAGACAGGGCTCAGGAGAGCAGGGGCATCTCAGGTCACCCCACCACTGGCATCACTGCCTTTTGGGGTAAGATCACGTTGTTTAAAGAACCCAAGGTATACCATTCCCTGGCTCAGGAGCAGAACAAGGGGAAGCAGAGAAGGAGGATGCAGCACGTGCAGCCAAGGCATCCCTTGAGGTGGGCACTGGTCTCATCCATACCCCAGCCCAACCTGCACGGCCTCCAGCTTTCACACAAACCATGGTGCATCCCTCATGCACCCCAGTGCTTTCCAAGCCCCCCACCCCTTTTGCACCCTCCCGGATGAATTCATGGATGGACATTGAGATGCTGGGCCCATGGAGTCCCCCAGGGACCCCCAGTGCAGACCAGCACCAGCCTGGGGGCTGCTGTGGGGGCCATGGGGAGCAGGGGCCACCGTCTGGTCACCGGCAGCCGTGCTACCCCGGTGTCCCTCCCCCCGCCCCCGCCGCTCGCTCCTCTCCGTCATCCCCATGAATTTCCCGGTTCCCTGTAGCCGTTCCTATGGAAACTGCGGCGGTGATCCCGTAACCACGGCAACTGGGGTCCCCGGGCACCGGCACTCTGTCGGCAGGGAATGCCGGGGTCTCTGCGCGGGTGGGGGGCACAGGCAACACCCACGGGCGATTCCAGCCGGGATGTGCCCTCCCTTGCCGGGGATGCCCCACGGGACGCTCCCTGCTCGAGCACGCCCGAGCTCCCTGCGCCCGCTGGGGCTGCACCCCCCGGCGGGGCTGCCGGGGTGCCCAAAGCCGACTGCAGCCCCAGCCTTACCCACGGCAGCAGGGATGGCACCCAGCAGTGCCTGCTTGTACTTCCGCAGGCTCTCATCCCCTGGGTCCAGCTCCTGGATCTCCTGCAGGCTCTTCTTCTCCGGCGTCTTGTACGCCAGGGCCACGTCGGCATCCTCCTCCTCCTCCTCCAGCGATAGCGTCACCCCCTCCTTGTCAGCCATGATGTCTGCGGGGGACAGGCAGTGGCAGCCCCGGGGACACCCCAAGGGACACCCCGCGACACGAAGGCACTGGTGGGCAGGGGGTGGCCAGGCTGTGACACGGGAAATCCCCGTGGGGGAGGCCAAGCTGCCCCCCTGCTCGGAGCTGTGGGGAGGAAGGCTGCCAGGCTCGATGTCCCCGGGGCCTGGTGGCACAGCTGAGACCAGAGGTGTTGCCGCCGGCTGCATTTCCGCACGGTCATGGAGCAAGGCGAGCTGCTGCCTGCGCGGTGTGCTCGGTCTAGGGGGTGCTTGCAGCCCCCTCCAGCCCCCAGGGTCCCTTCGTGTCACTCAGAGAAGTCCTTGTCACTGCCCTGAGGCCCCCTCCAACCGCACTGGTCAACCTCCAGCCCCATCTCCCACCCCAAACCCAAACCACCAGCAGCTGCAGGGCAAAAAGGTATCACTGGGATGGTGGCTCCGGTGGCTCTGGTGATGTCAGACTGCTGGGGGGCACAAAGGTGGGTGATGTCCCCACAGTCTCTGACTCTCCCTACCCACTGCATCACCCCTCCACTCTTGTGACTGCAAGCAGTGAGCTCCCCAAAACCCCTGAAACTGCATCCCTGGGGACATGCTGGGAACACAGCATGGGGCAGAGGACACTGCCTGCACTCAGCCCCGGGGTTGCAGGGCCAAAAATGTGGGGCCATAGGGCCAAGATGTGGGTCCCCAGGGCAGTGATGGGGACACGGCAGTGGCCCTGCTGCCCCTCTGGGTCCCCCACCAAGGCCCTGCCCCTCGGCAGCACGCGGGCACTCCCAGCCCAGGGATGCACCCACCTGGGGACTCGCTGGCTGCCCACGGGTGGCAGGGCAGGGTGGCATGCGCCGGGTGCCACAGGCTGCGAGGTGGCACGGGGACAGCGGGGGTCTCCCCCGTGGGATGCTCCAGTCCCCCCGGGCCCGGGGTGATGCTCACTCATGGATACACCGGGTGCCCGGGGGATGCTCACCTGTTGGGGACTCGGAGTGATGCTCGCCCTCCCTCCCCGGGGCAATGCCCCCCGCCGCCCCCGGGCGCTGCCCCCCGGCCGCCGCCGCTCACCTCGGTAGCACAGCGCCAGCCAGAGCAGCTCCAGCAGCTGCCCGCCGGCCTCGCACACGTCCAGGCCGAGCATGGCCGGGCCGTGCCGGGCCCGCCGCCCCCGGGGCCGGGCGGGGCGGCCGCTGGAGGGGCCCGGGGCGCGGCTCTGCCGGTGCCGGCGGCTCCTCCCGCCCGCTGCCGCCGCGCTCGGCGGTGCCGGCTGCTCCCGAGCGCTCCCCGCTGCGCTTCCCGGCGCTGCCCGGCGCGGCCCGGCGGGGCGGCGGCGGCTCCCGCAGACGCGGTGGCTCCGCTGCCCGCCCCCGCCCGCCCCCGCCCCTCGGCGGCTCCAGCCCCGCCGCTCGTGGGCGGCGAGACTGCAGTGAGCTCATCGCCGGGCGCGCCCGCCCCGCGCTGCCCGCACCCCCCGAGCCTCCTGCCTGTACCCTCAGTGCACTGCCTGCATCCCAGGAGCATCCTGCCTGTACCCTCAGTGCACTGCCTGCATCCCAGGAGCATCCTGCCCTCACCCCCAGTGCACTGCCCATGCCATGGCCGCACTGCCCGCATCCTGGCAAGCCCCTTGTTCACAGTGCCCGCACCGTGACCGCGCTGCCCGCAGCCCCGCACGCTGCCGGCACATTGTCCACCCTGCCCGCATCCCGCGAGCATCCTTCCTTCCTATACCCTCAGTGCCCGCACCCTGCCCGCACCGCCATCCAGCAGCCACAGCCTTGTGTTTCCCCCTCCCGGGCACCGGGTCAGCCAGGGTACTCCCCGGCCCGGGATGCTGGGGGGGTCCGTGTGGTGCCGGGGATTGCCAAGGGTCCCACGGGCAGGGGGGCAGACTGACCCCGGGAGTCGGGGCCGGGGTTTGGGGCACCCGGGGCCTGGTGAGGCGGGGCACGGAGGTCCCGGGGACGGGACCGGGCGGGGCCGGGGCGGGTTCGGGCAGAGAGGCGCGACGCGGGGCGCGCACCCGCGATGACCATCGGCGGCCCCCGCGGCCGGCACCCCCGCCTCCAGATGCCCTGTCTGCGCAAGGTGAGCCACACCGGCACCGGCAGCAGCTCCGCGGGGAGGGGGCACAGCGCCGGGCTGGGCGCTAGCACCGCGGAAAGCGGGCACCGCCAACGTGGGGAGCGGGCACCGCTCCCGGGCACCCGGTGCTGGTTCTGTGGGGATCGGGCACCGGCGTCGTGGGGAGGGGGTACCGAGCGCACCGGCCCCGGCACCGTGTGGAACGGGGACCGGGCTCTGGGACTGTGAAGACGGGGGCACCGGCACCGTGTGGACCGGGGACGGGGCGCTGGGACTGTGGGAACCAGACACTGACACTGCCCTGGGTTACGCGGGCATGGGGGGCCGCCGGGGACCAGGGACCGGCACCATCCAGCGTACGCTGGACAGCGGGCACCACCCCAGCCCCAGCGCCGCCACGGGGAACCGGGAACCGTTCCACGAGGGAATACCCACGGGCAGCGCCCCGGAGTTGCGTGCTCTGCTCCCCCACGCGGGGCTGGGGTGCTGCCACAGCCTCGGCAGAGCTCGCTTCCCCAAAACTGGGGTTCCCCGGGCCAGGGATACTCGGAGGATGAGTGTTTACAGCTCCAGCATCACACGCTCGCCCAACTGCTGGGTGCCTCGGCCAGGCTGTGGCATGCCAGCCTGTCCCTAGGCTGGGCACAAGGTGCCCTGGGGCACTGCGGAGTTCCAGGCTGTCCCCAGGCTGTGCCCTGGGTGCCCCTATCGGGTTGCGGGAGCCAGGCTGTGTCCGCGTCACAGGGTGCCCGGGGTCACAGTGAGGGGAGCCAGGCTGTGTCCAGGTCACAGGGTGCCCGGGGTCACAGTGAGGGGAGCCAGGCTGTGTCCAGGTCACAGGGTGCCCGGGGTCACAGTGAGGAGAGCCAGGCTGTGTCCAGGCCCGGTGCCGCCGTCGCGGGGCTGAGCACAGCGGTTCCTTGCCCGGCAGATGGAGCGGATGATCGTCAGTATGCAGGACCCCGACATGGGCATCAAGATGAGGAACCAGCGCTTGCTCATCACCGTCATCCCCCACGCCATGACAGGTGGGTCCCCGCTGTGGTGTCCCCCGTGAGGTGCGTTTGGGAGCTCCCCGGGTGTCCCCAGCCCTACAGCAGCACCCACTGCCAGCCTCCGCTCCTCTCCCCGCACCGCGGGTGCTCAGCGCTGCAGCTGGGATCAATTATGCATCGGCTGCGCGGGGCGGGCGCTCGCTCGTCCTTGGCAGGGCCCCCGTCACCCTGCGTGATCCCTGGCACTGCCATGCTGTGCCAGGTGCCCCAGCCGAGAACCCCACCATGTCCAGTTTGGGGGACCCCATCGCACCCCACTAACGCAGCCTCTGTCCCCAGGGAACGACATCGTGGAGTGGCTCATTCAGAAGTACGGCATCTCCGAGGAGGGTGAGTGCCCTGGCACAGGCAGCTGGCACCGGGGGGGCAATTGGGGCTGCCGAGCCTCCACGCAGCCCCCAATCCCATTCCGCAGAGTCGCTCCACCTCGGCAACCTCATCGTGAAGCACGGCTACATTTACCCCCTCAAGGACCCGCGCAGCCTGGTGCTGCGGGCGGATGAGTCGCCCTATCGCTTCCAGGTACGGCCGCACCGGGGCACGGCACAGCCCAAACGCCGGGGCTGCCCCGGCTGGGCACCGTGGCACCCCATGGCAGCTGCCTCAGCCTCCTCTTCCCCACAGACCCCATATTTCTGGACCAGCACCAAGTGGCCGGCCACGGAGCTGGACTACGGTAGGTACCGCTGGTACCAACAAGGGCTGCGACCTCTTCCCAGCCCGCTGAGTGCCGTCGCTTCTCTTGCAGCCATTTACTTGGCCAAGAAGAACATCCGCAAGCAGGGTGATCTGATCGAACACGAGAAGGTGAGCGGTGCCCTTCTCACCCCTGTGATGAACTTGGGGAGTCTCGGCTCACCCAGGAGCGAGGAGCATCGGCTCTCCCTGCGCTGGAGTGGCAGCGGGGCCCGGAGCCAGGCAAGGGGACAGGTGCCACACCGCGCCTACCTGTCACTCCCCAGGACAACTACAACCTCCTGCACAAGCGGATCAACCACACGTGGGACTTCGTGGTGATGCAGGCACGGGAGCAGCTCCGGTGAGTGCGGGCACGGCCGGCACCGCTGCGCCCTGGGGAGCGGCAGGGATGGAGCACCCCTGGGTGCCGGGCAGGCAGGGTGCCAGCACCTCTCCGCTGCCTCTGCACGGCCAGGGCAGCCAAGCAGCGCCGCAAGGGCGACCGCATCGTCATCGACTGCCAGGAACAGGCGTACTGGCTCGTCAACCGGCCCCCGGTGAGCGCCGGGCAGGGGGTGGGCTGCAGGGTGCAGCCCTGGCACCACTCACGGCCCCGGCCTGGGCAGCGGGGCTGGGGGACAGAGGGGGACCCCCAGCCCCCAGCATGATGCTCTCGCTGCAGCCAGGAGCCCCTAACGTGCTGGAGCAGGGTCCCGAGCGCAGGAACTGCCACACCACCCGTGTCCAGCTGGTGAGTGCGGGTGTCCAGGCACCCCTGGGGCCGCCAGCGGGCACAGGGCACACCCAGTTCCTGTGCCGGGGGTAGAGCTGCCCCTGTGGGTGCCCATCCATCTCACCCCAGTCTGTGCTCACATTTTGGGGTGAGGGGTGAACCCCAGCTCTGCTAACATCTGTGTGCCCCCCACGCCGAGTGTGGGGAGCCTGTGTTTGTCCTTGCACCCACCAGCCCCCTGTGCCAGCCCCTCTAGTCCCTGCAGGGTAGCTGAGCTGCAGGGAGCCCTGGCACCCTGGGCTGCCAGCAGCAGCCACCAAGCTCTTCCTTGTGTTGTGACCCTACTAATGCTGCCCCAGCACCCCCAGGCTGTCCTCACTAACCACCCAATTTCTCTTCTCTGCACCGTGTGCCGCGTCCTCTGTCCACGTAAGTGTCACTAACTTACGGCTGATGTCACACTGGGGTGTGGAGGGGGGAAGCCAGAGGTCATTTCATGGGCTGTGCTGGCTGAGCCAGGAGGGCCGGGGGAATGAGGCTGGAGGCCACGGGGATGGGCTACAGAATCCCGGGGTGGGCTTTGGGTGTCGGGATTGTCCAGGAGGGTGGTGGCAGGACAATGTTCCAGCTCCACCGTGCCCTCACCCAGCCCCTGAATCTCTTGCAGACCAAGAACATGGATTACTACAAGCGAGAGGTGAGTGGGGAGAGGGGTGGGGGCAGCTCCTGAGAGGCAAGAGCTGCCAGGCACCCCAACATCTCCCCTGCGCCTGGCCCCAGATCGAGTACTGCAGGAAGGCCATGGCCAGGACCAGGGTGAAATCCTCCATCTGCCTTGAGGGGTGAGTGGTAGCAGCTGCCCCAGCCATGGGCTGGGTCCCCTGTCAGGGTGACAGGGCCACCCATATGCCAGCAACTGGCGCTGGCACCACTGCACCACAGCTCTCAGCAGGGAGTGGAGCTGAGGCTCTGCACAGCTCCCACACATCCCCACCAGATTCCCATCGTGTACCCACGGTGGCTGGGGTTGGTGGCCCTGGTTGCCTCCAGCCACCACTCCTGGCAGGTACATCAAGTTCAACGAGCAGTATGTGCCCCACGACCCCATCATGTCTGGCTGCCTGCCCAGCAACCCCTGGATCACGGATGACACCACGTACTGGGCCATGAATGCCCCCACGTAAGTGCCCCAGCCCCAGGCCCCCCAGAACCCCAACCCACAGGACAGGGTTGTGGGGTCTGTGGGGTCATGCAGGCTGCCATGGACTGCCAGCCCCAATGCCACTGTCACCCACAGGGTGACAACCCCCACGAAGCTGCGCGTGGAGCGCTGGGGCTTCAACTTCAGTGAGCTCATCAACGACCCCCTGGGCCGGGCACAGCTCCTCGAATTCCTCAAGAAGGAGTTCAGTGGTGAGTGGCCCCAGCCCCAAAACTTGGCTATGTCTTGGCACCCCTCAGACTCACCACTCTGACCCAGCATCGCCAAACCCACCATGTCCCAGTGGTGCCTAATGCACTGTCCAATCCCAACACCACCACACCAACCCATTACTGTGTCCTGGCACTCCTCAGCCCACCATCACATCCCAGCATCTCCCAGCTGACCTGCCCCAGTTTGCCTGGTTCCACTGCCCCAGCTGGCTCTGTCCCACGGGGACACATGCCCAGCCATGATGGCCTTTGGGGGTTGCCCATGAGGGGCGTCCAGTGCCGTGTCCCCATTCCCAGCACCATGTCCCCCTCCCCAGCTGAGAACCTGAGTTTCTGGGAGGCGTGTGAGGAGCTGCGCTACGGGGAGCAGTCCCGCATCGCCGAGATCGTGGACTCCATCTACCAGTGAGTGCCAGTGGGATGAGGGCTCTGGAGGAAAGGTTTAGGGTGGTGAGGTCATCACGGTGCTCTGTCCCAAGGCGGGGCCGGGGTCACCGCCGTCTGTGACTCCCCAGGCAGTTCCTGGCTCCCGGGGCAACGCGCTGGGTGAACATCGACAGCAAGACGATGGAGCGAACCCTGGAGGGCATCAAGACTCCCCATCGCTACGTGATGGACGATGCTCAGATGCACATCTACATGCTGATGAAGAAGGTGGGTGAGGGCGGGGCTGGGCAGTGCAGGGCTGGGCAGGATCCTGACGTCTCTGCTCGCCCAGGACTCTTACCCACGGTTCCTCAAGTCGGACCTCTACAAGAACCTCCTGGCCGAGGCCATCATTCCACCGGAGACCAAGAAGCGGTGAGGGCAGGGGCCGTCCCCTGGGGCCCACCTGGAGGCTCCTCGCCGGTTCTGACCGCGTTCCGCCCGCAGGGTGTTCCCCTTCATGCGCAAACAGCGGCATTCCAGCCCCAGCCCGGCCCTGCTGCTGCCCGCGGGCGATGCCGAGGAGAGGAGCCGGAGCCCTTCCACTGCCCCCGTCCCCGAGGAGGAGAGCTGAGAGCCGCGGCCCCCCGGCAGTACGGGAGCCCCCTGACCCAGCACACCCAGCCCCGCCGCAGGACCCTGCCGGCAGTAGCACTGAAGGAGAGAAGCCATATCCCCCCAGCCCCCCGGAGCCCCCGCTCACATCCCCGCACCCTCCTCTCCCTCGGGGAAGCCGCACCCAGCCGGCCTGGTGCGGGGTCACCCCCTCCATCCCACCCCACCCCGGGCGCGACAGTAAAACCCCCGTGGGGAAACGCTGTGGCTCCCGTGGTTTTTGGGGAGTGGGGCCAGGGAGGCATTGGCAGGGTGGGAAGTGCACGAAGTGCTGGATTCTCCAGGCTGGATTGTGACCTGTACTCCGGGCTGGAAGCGACCTCCATCCTGCAGCAGCCAGCAAGGCTGCAGACCCGGGATGGACCAGCCCCCCCAGACATGCGTGCCCATGGCACAGCCATTACCCTCGCATCTGCTGGCTCCGAGGGGCAGCACCAGCCTGGCATGGCTGAGCTGGCACTCCGGGGTTACTGGTGTGCCACTTACACCCTGGGAGGGACAAAAGGGCCTCTGGAATGGGGCTGGAGTGCCGTGGCCCTGCGGGCTGGCAGGGGCACCAGGAGCAGGGCTGGCAGATGAGCCACTCTCCCTGTCCAGGGACTGTTAATCTGAGCACAGGCTGAGGATCGCAGGGCGGGATTATTCCCTTCCCGGGAACAGAGCCCCAGCTGCAGAGGATTATCGCTGGTGGTTACATAAAGGACAGGGGGGCTGATGCCCAGCACTGCTCAGCCCTGGAGCCCAGCCTGCTCCACACGTACCCACGCAGCAGAGCTGGGGACAGCTCCAGCCCCAAATGGACAAAGAGGTGCCATCCTGTATCCTGGCTAATGAACACTGCTGGGATGCTGGGGATGGCATCCTTCCCTGCTGCAGAGCCTGGCACAGAGCAAGGGGCATTCTCAGGTCTGTGCTGGGGCACACAGAGGGCCCTGGGGCAGGGGAAGCTGCTGGAGCCTCAGTCCATGGAGCTTGGGTGCTGGCAGCCACCGGGCAGTGACAGATGGTCCCGCGCTCCAGGAGACAGCGCCTGCCACGCGTCTCCCTCCGGCTTGATCCAAATCCAAACCCTGGCATGAGATTTTCGTGCTGATGGACTGCAGCAAGAATCTGGGGTGTAAAACCAGGTCACAGAGCCTCATGCAGGGGGCAGGGACAGGCTGGCCCAGCCTGGTTATCTAACTCCAGCCTCTCTCCACATGCTCCCTTCTCCCTTTTCCTGGTCCATCACCTGCTCACAGCAGGACAGGGCACCAGGCAGCACCTCAGCCATCAAATCATCACCAGGGCTCCTGGATCCTTCCCAAGGTGGGGGGGTTCTGTCTTGGGGAGGTCACCCAAAAGGCTGTCAAAAAATCCCAAAGTTTTCTGTAACCTCCAAGATCAAAGCAGGGCACCATTTACAAACAATGCAAAAGAGGGTTTATTGAAACCATTCCGGTTAGAGCAAGTCCTGTACGGCACAATTTGCAATAAGTTAAAGAACCAAACCAAACAGTTTCAGTGTTAAAAACCACACTAACACATAACACAGTGATATAGCCATTGCCACCCAGCTGAGTTATTGAATCAAGGCACAAAATCATTCATTAAATACTGCAAAAAACAATTACACAGGAAATAAGCTGGAAAACAGACTGGTTTTGTTAAGAAGGTGCTGGTTTGGCACTGATGCATTTAATTGAGCTGCCATGGGCAAAATCTGCATTTCGGAACCGTCTGGAAACATTACTGGGCAACTTAAAGCCAGAAAAGCTCCCCAAAACTGAAAATCCAGCTCTCCTCAAGGAACATTCAGTGTGCCTATGGGAAGGTCTGGGGAGGGATCTGAGGAGGGAGTGCAGTGAGGATACAGCCCAGGCACCTTGCTCCTGGCCAGGGGAATCTCAGCAGGAAACAATCCACATCCAGCACTCAGGCTGGACTACAGTGTAAGCCTGGGGGTCCCCTGCCCTGTGCCCTGCCCCAGCTGGCTGAAGGGCAGCCTCAATCCAGCCCTCTTATGGCTGTAACACTGGCACAGGGACCTGGGGGGCTGTCAGGCCTAAGGTGCTGAACAAAGAGGAAACCCAAGCTGGGGAACACAGCTGGGGAGGCTCCCTGCACTCCTTGACTCCTCAGAAAACAGCTGAGAAGAGAGGCAGAGAGGCAACCTCACCATTTTGAGCCGAGGGTGCTTTGAAGGTTGTGGAGCACTCTGCAGAGCATCCCTGGCTTCCTGCCCAGCCAGGATACCCCAGGGCTGGCTCCCTTGACTGCCAGGGATATGGGTCTTGGGGCACAGGGTCATAGGGCACCCTTTAGGCAGCCATGGGTCAGATGGAAGCAGGAGGTGCCCAGGCAGCCCAGCTCCCTGTGCTGTCAGCCTGGGAGGGCTGGGCTGTGGTGTGAGCTGGTGACAGCAGCTGACCAGTGGCACATTTGGGATCAGCAGTGGCTGAAAGGAAGAGCTGATGCCTGATGCTGCACATTCCCATCCTACAGTGTTTCTACACATTCCCCAATGTCAGACTCAGCAAGGGAGGGAGGCACTGGCCAAACCCCCTCCTGCACTGCAGAGCTTAAGAGAGGTTATTTTTAGGCCTATTTTTATTTTCAGGACTGAGCAGCTGGTTCAAACTGTTTTCAAGACTCTGCACCTTGTTTCTACAGCCTGCACTGGCACCCAACAGGACAGGGCAGATCAAACACCTCACAGTGCTACAGAGATCTCCAGGAGAAACACGTCATCGTCACATAGCAACCTGTCCCATCCTCTTGGGATACCAGGCTGGGCAGAGAAGAGTGCTTGAGGATCCTCACCCAACATCAGTTCCAAGGCAGGGAGGGAGCACAGAGCTCCTGCCCACCTCCTGGCAGCAGGGATAGTGTTTGGAGAAGGCTCCTCAGCAGCTGCAAGGCTGAATGAGCAGGGTGCTGGCACTGCCACTGGGTACAGGGCTTCCCAGAGCAGCAATCCCAGCTCCCAGAAAAGGTTAAAGTGCAATTCTACTCAAGCCAGATCTTCAGGTTCTTTAAACCTGGAGAGGTGGTGGTGGTACTTCCAGGGACAGGCCAGTCCGGGCTCAGGGTGGATCTCTCACACCTCTAAGCAGACTGAGGGAAGGGAGGAACATTGATGCATCCATCAGGTGGGAGACCAGCTCCCTCTCAGTGTCACCAACACTGCATAGCCTGGCTGGGAAGGAAGCAGCAGAGGACACAGACACAGGTAGGCTGGTGACTGCAGAGTAGGACACGTGGGGCTGTTCTTGGAAGGCCATTTGCTAAGTAGAACAACACTTTAACCTGTGCTTTGCTGGCCCAAGTGATACCAGACACACCACAGCCATGGCTGGGGTCACCACCACCCCACCACTACTGAAGGAAGGCCCGAATCCAGGAGAGGGTAATTGCAAATCAACCTGCAGCCAAACACCTCTTCCCAGCCAAGAGAGCTGACTCAGAAAGGAAATCTAACACCACACAGCGAACTCCACTTCTCAGACATCCAACTCCACTTCTCAAACATCCCAGAAATCATCAACTCTGGCATCTCAGCAAGTACATGTTTTCCTCCAGACACACTCCTGAGTCAGCACAGTTCTGCAGGCACACAGGGATGGAGGGGAAAGCCCTCCTCCCTGAGCTGATGACACTTCAGTGGTGGCCAAGCACTGAAGTCCCATCAGCTCTAAGGACGGACACTCTGGCAGCTGCCTCCACAGCCTGGGTGTCCCTGGACACTGGGGGTGCTTCCCTGCCAGCCACATTTTGGTTTGCAGATCAAGAAAGGCAGCTTCCCACTGGAATCCAGGCTCTGGGCTTGTTGAGAGCACGGCTGCAGAGCAGAGGCAGCCTCTCCCCGTTCCTCCGCAAGCTCAGTCTCGGCTCTGGAATCGCATCCTGTACAGGCGGTCCCGGATGTGCTGCTCCTCGTCCCCAGCCATGTAGTGCAGCCAGATCACCCTGCTCACTGAGACATCCTCCTTCAGCTTCCTCTTCATCAGGGACACGGGGCCTGGCTCCTCGCCGGGCTGGGGGCCCCGCAGCAGCACATAGCAGGCGTGGCGGCTCCGCTCGAACAGCGCCGCTGCAACACGGAGCACACGGAAACCCAGCCTCAGCCTTCTGTGCCTGAACTGGCCACCAGACCCAACACCACCCACAGGGACCAGGAGGGACCAGTGTCCTCCTGCAGCTCCTTGCTGGAGGGCTGGAAGGAGAGGACTCACCAGTGAATGCAATGATTTGGTCTGTGCTGTTGCGGAGTTCCAACAGGACATGAGTGTAGGAAGGATGGAAAAGGTACAGCTTCTGGAGAGGAGCTCTGTGTGTCTGCAACCAACAGGACACTGTCAGGACACAGACTCACACGTTATCCCAAACACAACACCAGTACCAGGCTCAGCTATTACTCACACTCAACAGGACACACTCAGCCACACGCTTGTCCGTGTCGGCCCAGCTCATCCTGACTGATGCCACTAGGACAAGTGCTGGGATTTTGCTTACTGCAAAATCCTTCCCACCCCAAGCTTCCTGCAAATGGCCTGTCTGCTGCAGGCAGGAGACAGATTTTTGCCTCAGGGATGGCAGGGCGAGCAAGAAAAGCAGAGGAAGCTCAGCTGGTGCTTCTGAGGCTCAAACTGTCATCAGTGCTGCCTGCACTGCCCCGAGGGCTCTGCAAGCAGCTGAGCTGTGCACTGAGGCTGCCAGAGGCTGCCTGGGGCACAGAGAGGATATTCATGTGGCCACAAGGATCACTGCATGCAATGCTGCCATGGCAGGCTCCCAGGGAAACAGCAGCAACTCGAGGTGCCAGGCCAGAAGCCTCTCACCTCACCTCCAGTGCCACACAAAGGCAGGGCAGTGACTTTGCTCACAGAGCCACCAAGTTCCTTTTCTCTACATAACCAGGCTGAGGATGACAAAAGCTGCCAGTGCCACCACCATCTGCAGGGACACAGCTATGGACTG